CCAAGGAGGGGTTTTCTGATTTTGGGGATTTCTTTTCTCCCGCTAGATACTAACGATGAGACGCTTGTTTGCTTAAAAAAAATTATAAAACGACATGTAATTTTAGGACACACAAAAATGCCTGTCCTAAATCCTTCAAATTTTATAAAGGATGACATTTTCTTTATGACACCCTTCAGTGCGTATCATAGTTCGCGCGTCATTAATGGACTGCTTTCTACTAGTGCTTTGTCTGTCTTTGTGTCAGGTTTTACGTCTTTAATTTCTAGTCGTGTTTGACATCTTTAATTTCTAAAGGCTCCGCTTAATCCTTCAGATTCAACAAATCTTCCATCCTTGGCTTCCACAGGTTGTAATTTGTGGGCGTAAGTCGAACCATCGTAATCGTACTTGTAGATTCCATCGAAAATACTTGCAAATTGTTTTTACAATTTTTTTGAGGAATAATTAGATAAAACCAATCTCTCGGTTGGATTCGAAAGCGTAAAAAATGGTAGGGTAGACTTTTTCGGGATCAAAATGTACTTTTTGGAAAAGTTATGGACCAATTTGTAAATTTTCAAAAAAATACCGGCAAATATGTAATTTACAAATTTATAGGCACCAAACTGAATAATTTCAACCACATAGAGACCTTTCTGATAGTTTTCAGAAGTACAGGAACCAAAACGGTAACTTTCAGAACAATACAGACCGAAATGTAGTTTTTCATAAGCAAAGTGACTTGTTTGCAACTTTCTAGAACTTCAGGGGCCAAAATGCAATTTTTCAAAAAGCTGGTCAAAGATGACGTCACTCCTTCTCCGACGAGCTGGTTTTTCCGACTAACCTTTAATCGACGATTTAGAGGTCTTCCTGTGGTCGAAGAATTCTGAAAAATATATTTTCCGAATCCTTGAATCAAGACCTTTCCAATGGTGTGCTGTGATTTTGAGACAAATTTTTTTAAACCCAAAATATAGAAATTCTTGAAAAATTCCCCAAACACCAAATGAGGCTCTCATACCGGTTGTTGGGATTGGAAAATTATTTTATTCAACACAATAACAGAATTACAACAGAGGAGTAACTCTCTCACTCAACTATTACAAAAAACTAACTCTCTTTCTAACACTCTCACTCTAAGTGTTATGCTTAAACTCTCTGAGTTTGGGATGCATTTCAACTGAAGGTGAAGCCTCTATATATAATCATGGTAGCCATCATTTCTCCGACTTTCATTTAATGTGTTCACCATAGGGGAAGAAAAACTTGCCACCCTAGGTTCTCTTTTGTTAACAAAAATGGCTACTATACCTTTGGAGGTTGGAACACAACAAAATTGTCAAATGACTATTACAATACCAAACTACACGAACCTATTACAATACTAAATCTAATAAACCTACTACAAAATACGATACCACAAGTAATACAAAATACATTACATCATCACATTGTTCGAAAGACTAAAAGGGAACTTAAAAATACTATAACCACCACAAGAATGTGATTAAACATCTTCCACCAATACTTCTCTTTCGCTTCCTCATTAAAGCTTGATCCTTTTTTAGGATTACATTCCACCGATTTCTTATGCATCTTAATCATGTGGATTTCATACAACTTATAAGGTAATTTGGGGTCAACTTAGTCAAAAATCACAATAACCTCTTCCTTATATAAATACAAGCAAATAACATAAAAATCTAAACAGTACCTTCGCTTACAAAATTACTTACCATGGAGTTAGAGCAAAACATAAACCTCCTGTCATGGTTTAACTAACTAGGTCCACTATTTCTTAATTTTCACTTTAAATCTACACCCACAATGTAAGTTTATATCTTGGTTGCGATTACTAGTGTTGTGATAAGAAGACAATGATATATTGAACACTCTGCGATCTTGATTTTGGATAAGAGAGGAAACCAGGATCTTTCGTGATTTTGAGGACAAAGAAAGAACATTTTCTAGATCTTTTAACAGGTTAGGCAAAGTGATGACGTATTTTTTAAAAATCGGCAAGATTTCTTTTTTGCCATATCATATCCACGAGGCATTTTGCAATCGGGCAAAGAGGATATAACCGATTCTAAGGGCTAAATCGTGATATTCACAAAAGCTTAAGGTTTAATTTAGCATGTTTTGATGTTGTGGATGTGGAATAATGTTGACAGTGCCAAAACTTCGTTGACCAATTTTATCAATGATCCATTCTTTTTTCATGATACCTTCCTCGTCAATCGCGTTCCTAAACCCTACCTGTCGTCACCATCAGCGAGGTGAGGACATGGAAAAGCCGAAGCCTCCGCTGCCAATTCATCTCTCTCCTTCTCGATTCCTGTGTCATTATTGATCATTCTACGTTTCCCATTCTTTTTGTGTTTGACCTAATTCTTATTGGTTTGATGAACTTGCTCTATTACTAACAAAACGCACAAGTTGGGCATAAAGATATAGATTTAGTGTTGTTTAAAATGATGTGTATACGCTTTTATGTTTTTATGTGCAAAATCTGTTCCCCAATACACTTGCAGCTCTCAATGACAGATACATCGTCTAACATATGATCAGTTATCACCTGTGTAAGGGAGGAAATGCTTAAAAAATCAGTTATTTCCCCTTATTCACAAGTAGACGCTTTGGTACTTACATAAGTGGTTGTATTGTGTTGTATCGACTAGTATCTTATTTTGATCGGTGTACAGAGACCAAATAGTGATTTACTCTTCTTTAACTAGATCTTGATTTGAATCTGATGGGCTGCCCTGTGACCATGTAATCTTTTTGAAAATACTTTTTATCCCATAATTGCTAAAACCCACATGATTTTGCCAATTAATTACTGTTAGGAAAGTAAAATATAAACAATGAGCAAGAGGAAAACATAGAGATGTTAAATTTCTTCTGTATTAGTTCGTTACTAGGAATAGTACAGGTACATATAAGTAGCCAAATAAATAAACTGAAAAAAAAAATCTAAAAGCAAGGCACTTGTACTGGTATGTTGGAAACATAGACCACTAAATTGACTGTGCATAAACCTTGAAACCTTGTTGATTGGAAATTTAATATCTGCCTTAGTGCGAGTTAGCTAGTTGAACCCTCCATGTGTGCTCTTAAAGTGTTTCAGCTTTGCCAAACCAACAAGCGACATACACCTCTTCTTCTAGCTCACAATTTAGAAAGCCCGATTGATTTTTGTGTTTCAGGTGACACGTTAATCTTCCTGAATGTCTCACTTGATGAGAAGACTTTGCCAACTGCATATTAGGGTGAATTGGAGCCTGAAGGTTAGTACCCCTCAATATTCTTCCATTATAAAATGTATTTTTTCCATTCAACCAAAAATAAGTGTTTTTCATATTCCTGTTACTTATTGATTGTCTGAAAGACTGTTTGGTATATTAGTTAGTCGCTAATATCATCAAATAAGTAACTACTTTTGTTGTTAGTAAAAAAATTGGAAGCGATGGTTGAGGCTAAACTAATGACCACCCTAACTTTCTCATAAATTAGGAAGAATATTTTCATTTGGCATTCAAAATTTCGACTAGTGACAACGAGAGCTTTTATCCCTAATTCATATTAGTAACCTAGAAGCAAATGCTATTACATATTACATAACATATTAAATGTGCTATAAAATAAGAAGCCTTCAGCATATTACAATTTATTGAATAATATGTTAATCCTCTCACAAATTTAACAGGGAACAAAAACACAACATCATTTTATAGGAAATATAAGAATTAAAATTTACTGTATACACGTGCAAAAATTGAGAATACATCCTGGCCTACCAATGCGACAATGAATATGGCAATCACTATCTTCGTCACACCAAATATTCACACCGACACCTCTGTCACCCTAAACACTTGAGATTTGCATACCTAAAAAGCATGTCAATTCGTTAGAGATAAACAAATATGTCAGGAACCAGAACTATAATAGTGAAAAAAAGTACAGAGAGGGAAACCAATAACATGAAGAAGAACACCATCTTCAACAATTGCTCCATGTATTACAGGAATTTAAAATGCAAAACAGAAGTAGCTTTTATCTCTGTCTATTTCAATGCTCTTGGCTTATATATATATATATATATATATATATATATATATATATATATATATATATTAGGAAAAGTAACCAAATCTATTAATATTGCAAACATTTTCATTAACTAACACGTCGTGAAAACCTTTGTATATTGAACACCTGTAAAGAAACCATTTTTGTTTAAAATTTTCCATTAAAAAAATTCACGAATATTCCATTAAAGAAACCGTTTAATTGTTCCTTGAAAAATATGGAAGAAAAGCTTTATACTTTATCACTTTCCCGAAACGAAAATTGTTTCTTTTTCTATTAATGTCATGCAAGAATGCAAATTTCATATATATTGTCGACATAAATATAGATATATGTAATATGCATTGCATTATACATCATACATATATGTGTACATATGTCATGTACATATACAAAATGTCATCTTAGTAGATATAGATTTACTTTACAATGCACATACATATGCCATATACTCAATACATACAAAATGACATTTAGTTGCATACATTTTGAATGACATAATACATTTGTGCCACTATGTGGCATTTTTAGTGATATCTCTTATATGCCACAATAAAAATTTATAAACTTAATGGCACTTAGTATTTTATGCCACTAATACTTATTTTTAATTGTGGCGTAATGATATAAAATGCCACTAAATTATTTTGATTTTGAATCGTACAATTTGTTATGTTCCACTAAATGTTTTCTTTTGAATTAACAAGTTACCAATTATATGCCACTATAAATTTTATCGGATTAATTTTCGTTCCCCCCTCGTTTCCGTATTTACGTTCCCGAAATTTTAAAGAGGGGAAAAAAGTCAAAAACATGTTCTGTCACTTGAAAATTTTGAAGATAGATTTTTTTTTAAATAGTGAAGTCGACAATTTGTCGTCTCAATTCGTCTCTCGTCCGCCCTACCCCCCTCATTGGCGATGCTCCTCGTCGGCGCTGCAGAAGCTCTCGTCTTCCCTGATATCAAGGTACAAATCTATAATTTCGAATTTTAGAATGGCGATTATAAAAAACTAATTTTGCTTGTAGTAAAGTATGTTATGTTATGACAATTTTGACCAGGTTATCAAATTTTGACCTAGTTTGGTCGTTGATTTGACCATCACCAATTTCGATGCAGTTCTCAAGGTAACTCCTGCTACTTATGCCATTATTGAATTCTTCGCTTACCGGGGAAATTTTCTTTTATTAATTCATAGGGTTTATGAAATTGCACATTATATACTTCGGTTGAGTAATTGTACGCCTAGTCATGTTAGCTTGAGAATTGGTTTTCCTCTTAGTGTGGAGTTGTGTTTCATTTTCAATTTGTTTTTTTAGTCGGAATGAATACCGACGAAATCATATGTCGTAAGAATCGTAATATGGTGCAACTTGTAAATGCATACAGTGAGATAAATTTCATCATTGATATCAAACCTTGTTCATCTGCATGCAAAATTAATATCAATTTGGTTACAGTTTGGTCAATTTTTCTCAAAACGATTACCTGTTTTCACTCATAAACAGTTATGTCTTCTTCTTCCTCTGTGCCCATGATTTGGTTATCATTGTCTGGTTCTACAGCAGAGTTTAACAAAACATCCAAGGTGGTGACGTTTCAACTAACGAATGACAAGAAGTACAAACTCACGAAGAAGCAGTTTGTCCAAATCTTGAAGCTTCCAAATACATGTCCGTTTTACGAGGTTACCAGTGGTTCATATGTTCAATGAGATGGGTCATCAACCCCCACTCATTGGACTCATCCAGTTTCGAAAGGCTGCCTTACCTTCTATCTGGAACTTTTTGTTTGGGATTTTTCTACGGTGTCTAACAGGTCGTAGCCTGGTCTTGACAAAGCAAAATTAGAAATATATGCAATGGTTGCAGGGTTATACTATGATCTCAACGTAGACTATGTCACTCAGTTGTGGGAGGAGTTTCCAACAAGTATTTCTCACACCAACATTACAAATGGTATCTCTTGTGTGAGGTATTGGAGCTTGATTCTGCAAGCAGTGTATGAGAAAGAAGGCATTCTGGTTCCAACTGATGTTCCGAAGGCAGCGTTTATAGTGGCTCAAATCCCAGATGCTTTGTTACGAAAAGTTGATCTGGCTCATCTTGTTCTTGTTATTTATTTAGCAATAATAACCCCTAATGAACAAGTAGGGGTTTTGTAACCAAAAGGGGCGTAAGGTACTTCGAAGGTTGGTAAAACTTCCAAGAAATCTAAGAAGTCTAAACAACCTAAGACCGTTCCTGAGCCAATTGAGAAGGAGGTTGTCCAATCAGTTCAAGAACCTGTTGCAAAAGATGTTCAAAAGAAAGTTGTTCCCTCGAAAACAGGTGTTCTTAAACGAACCAAGAAGCCATCACATCGACCTCGTCACTCACCAGAACGACCAATCGATGAAGAGCTTCCCGTTGGGTCTCTCTCTTCACCAAAGGAGGGTTCTATTTCGAAGATCAAGAAAATTCGAAAACCCCAGCTCAATCGAAGGGGTGTGATAATTCATGAGGTTCCAGCTCCCGTTTTACCAGGTTCGAAGAAACACAAAGCACATGCAATGGTGATTTAAGAAGAAAAAGTTGCATTTGCAAGATCCTCTTGATGAGGTTGTTATGGAAATAGATTTCGAAAGTGGAAGTGATCGTTCTCCCATTAGCAATGAAGATATTGGCTCCTCATCACCACAAAGAGATTCTCTAGTTAAGTCGAATTTCGAGGAGACTGGAAGTCTTAGTGGCTCTGTGAAGTATCTAATACAGACACAACCACTAATTTGGGTGATCCTACAACAACTACCATCCCTGAGAAGACAGTAGTCATACCACCCGAGGCACTCAAGTCTGAAATGTTGAAGGAGGTGGTCAAGATTGAAACAGAATCATTCGAATATTCATGACAAGATAGATGTTGTTGCAGATGCTATCAAGAAATTTGTGGAGTATTATACTTCTTTTACTACCAAGTTTGATGCCAAGACTGATTCATATTCGAAGGTGTTTGCTAAAATGAAGGAATTTTTGGGGAGCTTGAAGGATTCAATCTCGAAGATCGATACTTCTCATACATCTTCTATTTCTCAAGAGTCACTATCGAATATGGTTTCTTCATTAGAAACAAATCTCAAAGTTGACCTTGCTCCTCTTCTTTAGCTCGTGTCTCTTCTGCCAACGAATGCCCCACCTATCAAACAAGTGGTGCAAAGGGGGAGATAAGGGGGTTGGCGCTTTGAAGTATTCAGATCCAGGAAAGGTTGTGGGGAAGGTGATGTCGATGCAAATTCCAACATCACTTCCTGTTTCATTAACAACCAATTCAATCGATGCAAATTCCAACATCACTTCCTGTTTCATTAACAACCAATTCAACTAAAACAACTTCGAAACCACTGACTAAAGGCATTGTCATAGGACAAAGTGTAGGGGGATCAAGTTCGAGTTCGAAGCCACCACCTTCGAAAGATGAAAAAAATAATAAAGGGAAGGGGATCGAGATCAATCCTTCTGAAGAAGAAAAGAAGAAAGCTTTGGAGAAGGAGATTGAGAAGCATAGACAAATAAACTGTATAATACGTCAAAGACAAAGTGATCGAAGAAGATTAGACAAAGGTGATCCATGCAAGCAATATTGTTATGAGACAATAGAGCAAATTGTATTTTCTGGTGTTATGCATGATTTTGAGAAGATTCCAAAGAAGAGCTATGAAATTGAAAATATTGATTTTAATCAGTTGGATTTTCCGATTAAGCACATGATGTTCATCTCTTCTCAGTATCAATTGGTTGATAAGTTTGAGGATAAAGAAGAGTTCAAGAGATTGAAGTTGAGGTTTCATGCAATTCAGGGTAAGAAGAAAGAGGAAGTATGGTCTTTGGTTAAGATTGTCAAGGTTTGGAATATTTCCAAAGATACATTATTCAAAGGCTTATTATAGAACTTTCGATACCATGTGTTCGGAGCTAACAATGTTGCTTGTGACTTCTCCATGGTAGACTTTCCTCTTATGAACCTCAATGATCTTATCAATATGGCGAAAATATTGAGTTCTGTCGATGTGTCGAAACTGCAAGTAAACAACAAACAAGATTTCTTGCTGGGTTTTGCACATATCAATTTGTTCATAGAAAATTACTATGATTGCCTAGCTATGACGAATGTCGAACTTGCTTTGGAAATGAGTAGAACGATGACAGTGCCTCAATCGTTGCTGAAAGGTCAAGGCAGTCTCAAGAGTTTTGAGGATGAGGAGATTATTCTTAAACTATTGGGTGTTGTTTTTGTTGGAAAGAACAAGAATAACAAGGTGACCAAGTTTGTGATATGGAGAGGTATACGAACTCACAGTATACGAATCTTCTTGTTCATCTTAATAATTACAAGAGGAATATAGCAGAAGATAAGGCTGAGATCCGAAAGATGATCATTTGGTACACTGAGGTTCGTAGAGTACTTCATCAGGCCATGAAGATGGCAATGACATAGATTCAACACTTTTCACAAATGGGGAGATTGTAGAGTTTGAAGTATGTTGTAAGGTGTCGAAGTGCAGTTGGTCCTGATTAGTTTCGAAGTCCGTGTTTTGTATTTCGAATATATGTATTACATAAGGCACTGTTTAGAGTTCGAAGCAAGAATGTCTAGTCCTTATGTTTTTTTGTTCGTGTCTGTAAGAGCCTATAAATAGGGGTAGGTATAAGAGTGAGGGTAACTTTTGTATTCTTGTGAGAACGAGAGAAATTTACTCTTTTAAACTCTTGTACTCATTCAGAAACAATTAAAGAGCCAAACAAATTATATTTACATTCGTGTTCTTAATTCAATCTGTACTTTGATTCTGTTCTTATCACTCGATTCATACGAACAACAAAGACGTATGACGATTGCAAAAAAGATAGTCCAAGGAGACAAGAAGATCCAAACTCTTTCACTTTTCAAACTCTACGGTGAACTTCAGGCTCAAGAATCCATGGTGTTAAAAGAATGTGTAGACTTGGGTGGATCATTTGCTTTAATGGCTCAAACTGCTCAGTATGCCATAAAGCACCCAATATCCCTATCCTAGAGAGTCATCATATCAACAATCATATGACAACTCACTGCACTCATATGAAGCTGATGTCGAACTAGATGATGTGGAAGAATTCCAAAATGTCGTAGCCCTCGTCAGTCAATAGTTCAATCGACTCCCACCACCCACTTTTCGTAAAAACTAACAGTTCACTAAACCAGCTTTAAACCGAAACTTCAACCTACAGAACAATCATCACCAATATCCCAAAAACCCTCATCACCAACCTCAGCCTCAGAATGCTCCTCAGACAAAGGAAACCCCATAGACTAACAAATCACCAGACTCTAGTATTGCTACCGAAGACAACAAAGATGGAGTTCTTTTCTGTCACAAATGTCACTAAGAAAATCACTTTGCACGGGACTGTAAAGCAAATGCGGTGAAAGACAAATCATTATATCTTAGAATGGCTCAGGAAATGGAGGATAAGGAGAAAGAAGAAGCAAAGGCATGTGTTGCTCAAGTTCGAAGGGATCATCAGGTTTGGTCTTCAGGTAATGAAGACAAGGAGCCTGACAACAAAAGGAAAAGAGGAAAGATATGCATGGTAGCAACAAGTGATAAAGATGGATCTACCAATCTGTAGAGGAACTACTACTACATGGCAAGGGAAGGGACCCTCTACATCGTCGAACGGGTAAAATTTATGATTCAGTCTAATGATTATAGCATGCATGATTGTGAATCTCACTTAGAAAAACTTAATGAAACATGTGTTGCAATCATTACAGATTGCAACAAAGCCGTAGATGAAAAGAACATAGTGACCCAAGAGCTGTATCACTTGAGAGGAAGACTAGAAGATAATAAGCTTAAGGTCACTATGTTAGAAAAAGATGTTAGGTTACTTAGTGAGGCTCAGTTAGAAGTTTCTTTCAATCAACGGGATCTTGCCCGAAAAGAAATTGTACGTTTAAATCATTTAATTGAAAAATTGTTTAATGAAAGTGAGGTTATCGAAGACCTAGTTAATAATGGGATTGTTGATAACACATATAATTGGGGATGGTACAATGGGTACTCTACCGAAGAGAACTCTCCTCCTCGGTTTGATGCCGAACGTCCTTATGTCCCACCAGACTGGGCCTTTCATTATCCAGTCAATGACAAGACCTTTCTCGAAGAGATTCGGTGCCACTTCGGTAGACTTTATGATCTCAGTAATAATTATGTCATCGAGAAAATTCATCCTGAATCCTCGGGAAACTTAGGAAGTTTCTTGCCTGTCATCGGTACAATTAGTCCCAGTTCTCAGTGCAGTTCGGTAGTGGACAAAGGAATTGTTATGGAAGAACCTGAAACAAAGATAAAGTCCCAACAAAGATTTTCCCTTAACCTACTCTACGGTACTCCAGTCCTCATTACTGCAGACCCCAGTCAAGTCCACGTCCACTCTCTAGCCTATTTTTCATGAACTTCCCATCGATAATTTTGAGTTTGGACAGTGTTTCCAGAATCATGAACACTCTAGTTCTAATGTTTCAACTCCTAGGTTAATACCTAGATCAAAGAATTTCAATAAACCTCATTTGAATGCTTCTGATGTTGTTCCACCAAAAGTTGAGGCAAAATTGGCTTTGAAAAATGAAGACAGATCCCAACTTGCAAAGTAGGAAGCTGATTTAAGGAACAAAACTTTCAAAACTCAAGCCAAATTTTCAAACAAAAGGAATTTTGAAAAACCCATAATTGCAAAAACTTTTCAAAATCACACTGCAGTCGATGGATCTTGCAAAAAAGCATGTATAGTGAAAAAATCTTTTGAAACCAACATCACTGTATCCTTTCAAAAAGAAGTCAAGTCACTCTCACAAAATTCCTTAAAAGAATCAAAAATAAACTGTATTTTACACACTTCACATTCTTCGAAAACCCATCAATGAATCAGAAAGTCAAAACCTACGTCCATGCCTTTTAACAAGTCTTTTACAAACTCAAAGGACACCTTTATAAAACACAACCCAAGGACCAGTCCAAAGAAGAAGATCACACCCTCCAGACCGTTGACAAACTATGGACTATGGATTAGTGAAAAGAATCTCACCTTTTGTTTCTATCCACTATCAAAAGAGAAACGTCAAATCCCACCTCTAAATGTTCAAAAGAAAGTCGAACATCATGGACACAGACAAACATGGAAAAAGAAATCTCTTCTTGACTCCCATATGCATACTTTTAATAGAAATGTTTCCCATGTTACCACAGGCTCCAAACTAGTTTGGGTGCCCAAAATAAGCAGTTGATCATGCAGGCTATGTGCAAAGAGGACCATGAGGAAGAATGGTTAATTGATAGTGCCTACTCCTTGCACATGACTAGAAGGTTAGACTACCTTCGATATTTCATGCCGATCAGTGGTGGCAGACATGTCACCTTTAGGAATAATGCAAACAGAATAATCAGGGGATATGGTGTGTTAACTACGAGCACCTTCTCCATTCAACGAGTAGCTTACATTGAGGGTCAAAAACATAACTTGATCAGTGTTGGTCAATTGTGTT